CAAAAGTCGTCAAACCAAGTGGTTACTTCAAACAGCTAGTAAGCCAATGAACTTTGTCCGGCGCTTTTTGAATTTTCCCATAGCATGCTGGAGTTTTAAGTTGATGACACCCAGAAAAATCGCGCCTCTTGACCGTCTTCCCCCTCCAATATCCCCTATGGGAAGAGTAACACTTCCAGGTCATGCTGAAAGGTCGGAGAGGCATGCGACAATTCTCAAGTTCAAAACGTTTGCAAAAGAGACCGAATTATGTCGACGTGAATACTAAAAAATTCGTAAGTGGATCATAGTGTTATTTTTCACAGCAAAACACTTTTTGAATCCATACAGTATTCAAGTTTTCCAAATTTATCCAAATTCGCGGTACTGCAAAAGCTAATCTAGATGTTTTTTTTTTGGAATGGAGCCAGGAGGCCCAGACCTGGCATGGTACCAGTTTTTACTGGATCTTTGCCAAAAGATGATGTGGAGGCATTCGTATGAAAAGTCCCCCTCCCCCCCCCCTCTCTCTACAGTATGCTAGACGCGGAGGTGTGAGACTTGACACTTAGCTAGGTGTTCGCACCTCGCACCTCGGAATTGGACATCGTATGAAGAGTCACTCACCCCTCTTAATGAGTGTTCTTGACAAAGTTTGAAATTGGACAGTAGCAATGTGCTTACAATCATTTCTCATGCGCAATTTGCAAGCAAATTGTCCGTGTGTATAGGCTATTCCAAAAGTAGCATGTATTAGGTTGGCCCAAAAGTCCGTTCGCACCATTTTCAAAGTTTTATGTCTTCTGAATTTGTCATTACAAGTGCACAATTCTAGTTTTATCCAAAAGCGGCAAAATATTGTTTTTTTGGGTAGGGTTGTCGAAAATCTAAAACTTGCACTAAAAATCAAAGTTAATAATATAAGATTTAGGATCTTTCTATCTAAAAATCCTTGTGCTGATTGAGCGTTTCTATCAATAATTATTATTTTCGAGCAAGCAGTATAAAACCACAAATTTGATTATATTGAATTTCTCGAAATTATGCTGCTGGTAGAAAAGCTCAATCAGCACAATCAAAGCTGAGGTCATAAAACTTATGACACCAGCAGGGTCGGTAGTAAACTTGTCGAAACGCGCAGCTTAAACTCGGAGTTATCAGAATTAACTCCGAGTTAACACGCATTTTTCTGGAACCATTAAAGGCAGCGTCCAGGCAAATCTGGACCCATAGGGATTTTACGTGGAAAGTAATTTTGGGGCCCTAACTACCACTGCCCAACCGGCAGCTCAAGAAGTGCTCTAACGGCTGAGATATTGCCCTCGAAAGTGGACCCCGGGATCGTATTCGCATGGACTGGCGCGACTCATCAGTTTCGCGTTGGTCCTCGTCGGTTGCGTAATGAGTCCATGCGAATACGATCCCGGGCTCCACTTTCGAGGGCAATATCTCAGCCGTTAGAGCACTTCTTGAGCTGCCGGTTGGGCAGTGGTAGTTAGGGACCCAAAATTACTTTCCAGTAAAATCCCCATAGGTCCAGGTTTGCCTGGACGCTACCTTTAACATCTGCATAAACAAACTAAATTGGGAAAATTTGATATGCAGGATACCATGCAAGACGTACTTTATCCCAAGTATGAAAACGTAGCATAACTCGTTCCACACAAGAAGTACGCGACGAAAATGAGCTGCGTCGTCAGCTGCTGCGCATTAACTCTGAGTTTGATGCGCGTTTCAGGCGCCCGCGAAACTCAGAGTTAACTCTGAGTTTGGTCAGAGGAAGAGAGATAGTGTGCAGACGAAAGGTGCAGCTAAAAAGTCCTCTGGGGTAGATTTTGCTCGTAGTTTCAGCAAGCATGAGGAAGGTATGTGATGCACTGCTGAACCAAAAATTAAATTTTGTGAAATTCTGGCCTTGAGGGCTATTCGACGTGATGATCACGAATACGATGTTCATTTTTTTGCCATTCGCCCACATACGGTAGGGATACGGTATCTAGGCGAAATTTACGAATTTTTTTGAAACTTGGTATAGTGGTGTTATTTGGCACGCTGATCACAAAAATGGTGTTCATTTTAAACTGCAGGTCCGTGTAGCGAGATTGTGGCAGGCATACGGTAGTTGGGCGAAGTTCTCAAAATTGTACGAAACTTGGTACAGTAGGGTTTTTTGGAGCTGATCACGAATATGATGTTCATTTTTCGCTACAGGGCCGCAGAGCCGGGTTACGGTAGTCCTACCGTAGCCGAGCGAAAATACAAAATTGCTCGAAGGTGAGATCGGGTAATTTGGCAGGCTAATCACAAATATGACATTCATTTGTGATGGCGGATCCATTTAGGTTACGGTATGTATACGGTAGTTGGGCTATAATCAAGCAGGCTTGCTCAAGAGTTTGGTATTGGAGCGCGATATTTAACAAAGCAATTTATGAAGAAATTAAGGAAAAAAACAAAGAAAAGGCAATAATATGAGAATGTCATCATGCTCAGGGATAGATTTTTGACCAGGGAATCCGTCCATGATAGAAAAGTCCGAAACTTATGTGAAGTGCCAGAATTATATGCTCCAGACGATCTCAGATCGTCTGGCGACCGTCTGCAGACGGACTAATTTTGGAAAAGGTAGTACTTCACTTAAGTTTTCAAAACTTTTTGCTTAAATCTTGCAAATAATATTCTATTTGTACAGTTCAATTTTGTTGTCATATGATCCTGTGTGCACTGTAAACAAGCAATTTGTTTATTTGTAGCCTTGCTTTCAAATCGCGCGCACTTTTCGCCATACACGATAGAGCATGTCAATCGTATGATAATCTGCCCGAAAAGCTTGTAATCGACTAAATGGCGCTTATTTTTGGTGCTCGGCCTCGTTTCGTCAAAAACGATAGCTCCTTTGCTTTTTGCTCCAAAAACGAAGTCCAGCCTGCTTCCAGACGATCTTTGCCGGACCCTGGTCGATGCTTTGGTCCTGAGGTTCTTGGAAACGAAGTCCTCTATGACTTCGCGAATTTTACGAAGTTCCCACTGACGTAAAACTAGTAAGGAAACAACATTTTGAAAGAACAAGAACAACAAAAACAAAAAACAATTGTTGCCGGTTTGAGGGAAGCCTCAGCAGATGTGAATGAAGAGTCATTTTTATCAGCGTGTTAATTTATACTATTTTTGACTCAAAATAGTGAAGAGGCAGTGGTTTGATTCGCTCTCTTCACTACGGTGCTGGCCATATCTCTAAAGCCACCCTAAAAATCACTGTAATTTGCTCTCTCTTGCTCAAAATTGTCTAAAAAGCCACTATTCCATGTACAATAATGTCATATCATTGAAGAGAACGGCTCCCAATTTCATTGATTTTGGCCGGAGAAAAATTGAAAAATTTGAAAAAAGGGTTCCCAAGGCTGATGACAGCTATAAAGCCACCTCTCATTTCTAATCAGTACTATATTTTTTGTATTTGAAATTTTTTGTACATGTACAACATCAAAATATGAGACAATTGTTACACTTGGAAGCAGTCGCCTTTTCGAAAATAAGATTTATCCTGCATTTTTTTGCTTCAAAATGTATAAAAAGTTATAATGTTTGGAAAAACTGCCTTTTCACCGAATTCTCAAGCATTTGTTTGACTCGAATAAAGGTCCTATGCTTCGCCGAGCCTGTGCAATGAGTAGGGTGAAAAGCGCAGGACTCAGCATGGCGTAGTGCTGATATTGATGAACGAAGCTCAATCTTACCTAGGCGTAAACGCATTTTTGAAACGCAAATCTCGATTTCTGACGCACGAAAATTTTCGCTGGAAGTTAACACCTTGTTTTGCATGGTAACGTTATCATGCAGAAGGCTGTCAGGCATTTTACAAAGACGCATTTGCAGCACTGAACTTAGAACGCCTTGTCTGCAGTTCGGTTGTCAGTGTATCTCACATGACTTCAAATTTTACTGCTTTGAACTCCTCTTTGAGTCAAAAAAGTCAAAAGTGTCAGGAATACTAGAATTTTGAAGTTTTGAGCGGTTTTCCACTTGATCGAGAGGTCAGAGTGTGTCACGATCAGGCAGAGTGCACCACTCATCTTTGGAAAAAGGGCGTTCAAGGCGGAACCAAAATCCTGAGAGTTGCGATGACGTTCAAGCTATGCGCACGAGTCTATCGTTGCACAGGCAACGTGCTGAGCACGTGACAGAGCTTTTCGGGCATTAGAACTCAATTTCTGCGGTTCGAAAACTCGTTTACCTGGAGGTGAGGTTGGGGCTCGTTATCAATATCAACGAATACGTCATGTTGATTCCTGCGCTTTTCACCATATTCATTGCAAAGGCTCGGCGAAGCCTAGGACCTTCATTCGAGTCAAACAAATGCTTGAGAATTCGTGAAAAGGGCATAAGGTGAAATTCTATAAAAGAGTATGACGAGTTATGGAAAAGAAAAAAGGATTGTTTTGTATCCTTCATGGTTTGCTCTATTTTTCCGTTGTCTGGACTTCTTCGGAGAATTGATATAAAAAATTTAGATAAATTGTGAAACTTGACTATCTCAAAAAGCATGAGTCAAAATCTTGGTATTTTTCCAGAGATTATTAATTTGCTGCAGTTAGTTTTAGACCGGATGAAATGGATGAGAAGGATGAAGTGCTGCATTTACTATCAGCATCAGTCGTTGTTTCATGAAATATATCGTTTTGAAGAAAGCGACCTTAGTTCCAGAACGACCTAAAAAGCTGTATGTTATCTTTCATAGCTCATTATGCGCAACTCAAAATTGCTTTCTGCAAAACTTGGATTGCTCAAAAAATATTTCTAGTAATGCAAAATGCTCGTTATATGGAAAATTTTCAATGAATGTGACTTCGCCTTTTACGATATAGTTCAAGTGAGCCTTACGCGAAAGGATAATTATAGATTTTCATTAGCCCTGCACCAAAATCGTCTCCGTTGTTGTTATCTAAAGATTGTGTTGCTTGCCATAGGAATTACACGATAAATTTGTGCGCATTGATCAGGACAAAATTTCTGTGTTTCAGCCGACGTGGGCTTAGCCGCTGCGGAAACCGCAGGGGAGGCTGCTGCCAGATTCCAACAATCGGCTAAAAGTGCGGCTAAAGCCGCTGAAGAGGGTGTGAAGGGAGCAGGTCACGCAGTTGCAGAGAAAGCTTGTATTCTTTGTGACACCTTTTTGATTTTATGAATTTTCGTAAAATCGTATTTCAGCGGATATCGGTTCATCAGCGGTCGAAGCGGGGAAACAAGCTGCAGACACGGTTGAGCACGGAGTGAAGAGTGCGGGACACGCTGTCGGTAAGAAGTGATATGAGTGCTTCTTTTCATCTTCTTCTTTCCCTCATTCCAATCTTTTCTTTAAAGCTGCGCACAAGTACAATATCATTTCTTCAGCCACCATCCCGCCGTCTAACAGTAAGTTAGGCAAAGTAAAGTCAATTGTGCGTGGTTGCCGGAATCTCATACATTTGACGCCTAACGCAGCAAACGGCGGCGTCACTCAAAAAAAAAAACGCTGTTCCCACCACAAGACAGTCTATTCTTCGGAAATGTCTCATAGCTTCTCGTACAATATTCACCAATCAAAGAGCTTTTCGTTGCTTTCCACTAACATGCCCCAATCAATTTCGAGAATGTCGCAATAGAACTCGATCGGTTTTCTCACTTGCGGCATTGAAAGCAACTCTGAAGCAGACGTCTTTGTTGAGGGTCGCTATATCAAATGATTCTTTGCTTTTTTCTGTGTAGGTCAATTTAGCGGCCAATAACCAGGACGATACTAGTGAATGTGTCACGCATGTTATGGAAATTTGTCTTCCCTCATTAGGCCCCGGACACACTTCACGCGACTCAATCGTCGCGATCTAATCGCCAAAATTTCCATTCATTTTCATTTCACATTCAAAAATTTCGGGCCGGAAAAGTATCACAACCGAAATGCAAGTTGATCGGCATGGAGTGATGCTGTAACAGTTGTCTCGTCGCGATTCAGTCGCGACGATCAAATCGCGTGAAGTCGGTCCGGGACCTTAGACGACTATAGACACGCATGATATTGACAGAGATAAACGTAGCTTTGTTTGAGTATCATGATCAAATCGTCTACTTCTGGAGTCTGAAAAGCTATCTAATTGCTATAGGTCGTCCGCGCTGCGCGCGGAGAGCAACGCTGTTGCGTCCAGTGAAGATAGTTGAGCGCAGAGAAAAACAGGCGGCGAGAGTGCACGGGGAAAGAGGAGTACGCGCAATACACACCTTGCCACTCTCCGCGCCCTGCGCGGACGGCCTATATCAAGCACAAGAACGAACCCGTGAAATGCATGTCCCTTGAAAGTCATTATTTAGCCTAAATGGAGGCCAGCATTTCATGGTTGCGCTTATGCGTGCTTATCGTTTCTGTACTCTAAAGGGCCTTCACATTGCTGTTGTAGATTCTTAGGGGTGCTTCCTTGCCGATAAAAGGACTTTCAATTTTAGTGAAATGCTACGCTCACAAAGTCGACTGTCGGACGATGACCAAGTTCTTGTACCAAAGATCACCAGAGAGCGATCTTTTACTTTTGTATGATTCATGCGGGCAGCCGCGCTCGCGGAAAGGTTTGGTCATCGTCCGGGAGTCGACTATATATCGAACAGTTTTATGCGGAGGAAAAAAATGGTCGTGGCCATCAAAAGCTTCCCCGCTCGAGTGACAGCTGCAAAGAATCATGCTTGCAAGATGAAGTGCTAAGTTTGATGTATATAACACGATGATGCCGGTGCTTGTAGTGTTTTGAATGCCATCGAAGCATAATATTATGTGTTCGCACGCCATGCAATAATGATATATTAGGTCGTCCCGAAAGTAATTTCGCTTTTTTCAAAGGGGCGCCGCGTGTGACTGAACAAAGATCTCTAAGAGATCTTGGAGGCATTCGATGCAAAATTTCATCCTCTTTCTAAAAGTGATGAAATCGTTGCAACACAGTCATTGAGCTTTCGGAAAATAACCAAAACCTGCGACCCATGCTTTTTGAGATGGTCAAGTTTCACAATTTCTTAAAACTTTCATATCAATCCTCAGAAGGATTGCAAGTAACGAATCGATAGAGTAAACCTTATAGAATACAGTACTACTTTTTTCTCCTTTCCATAGCTTGTCATACATTTTTAACAGAATTTCAACTAATGCTACCGATTTCCACACTTGGGCAGCTAAATCCTCGTAGAACATCAAAAGAAGAGCAGCTCGCGCACTATTCGATGATTTTCTCCTCTTTTTAACAGGTGTTTTTTGTTTCCGATTCGTTTAGTCTTCGGGGCTAAAATCGTCATAACTCATGTTTTTGAACGCGCCCAAGGCTGTGCCCGAAAAACTCGAAGTTCAGTATTTCGAATCCGCAAACTCTCATTTGCTTTACAAAATCAATTTTAAGCCATATATCATCTTGGAAGCTTCAAATTCCGGGTAATTACTGATGTTTAATGCGATTGTGGCTGACGTAGGTCTGCCAAAATCGATGATTTTGGTGAAAAATGTTTTGGAAAAGTACGGCGAGCTATGAAAAAGAGAAAAAAGTGGTGCTGTATTCTATAGGGTTTGCTCTATTTGATCGTTACTTGAACTCCTTCTGGGGATTGATATGAAAGTTCCGAAAAATTGTGAAACTTGACCATCTCAAAAGCATGGGTCGCAGGTTTTGGTTATTTTCCGAAAGCTCAATGACTATGTTGCAAAGATTTCATGACTTTCAGAAAGAGGATGAAATTTTGCATCGAATGCTACCAAGATCTCTTAGAGATCTTCGTTCCATCGCATGTGGCGTACGTTTGAAAAAAGCGAAATTACTTTCGGGACGACCTAATATATAGAAATCTAGTGTACTCTTGAATTAATCAAATGTAATCTAAAATGACAGCTAGATTTCTACAAATTTTTCTCAAATTCAATCTACCATCAACGGTACCTAATATTTTCGGTCCGCATCAAGCAGTTCCATCGTACGTATTTTCTCGCTGTTTCTTTCCTTGTTTCCTTAGAACAACATTAAACTATATATAAAAGCACTGAATCCCACAATTACGACGACGTAAGCATGCATACGTTTTTGTCTTTGGTATTCCTTAATTTCTTTCTTCTGGATTTCCTCGGAAAGACTGTCACAAAACATTACAACGACACTAGCCATTGCCCGGTTGAAAAAAACTCCAAAAACATAGAAAAGAGCGTTTTCTCTGAGTGACGTTGCCATTTGGTGCGTTAGGCGTCAAATGTATGAGATTTCGGCAACACACGCACAATCTAATTTAGGCCCAGTTTACTGTAAAACGTCGGGACGATGGCTATAGAAGTGACATTGCCGTGCAAATTGCCGGGAGACGGTCAAGAGGTGCAATTTTTCTGGCTGTCACCAACTCAGATTCCAGTTTGCTGCTCTATACGAGTCTTCAAAAAGTATCAGATAAAGTACATTAGCTTAGTACCTGTCTGATGTTACTACTTGCTGTGTTTGATGGTTTTTGCTGGATAGTGGACCCAAATATTTACGAATTTGTTCTAAACTGCATTTTCTTGGGTTTTTGACCTTCAAAATTGCTGTTTTGAATTGATTCCAAGTTAGCAAGATTGAGGGTACTTTTCCGTTATCCGGATCCATTTTCCAAAAGGCTCTCATAATATACGTTCTTTGATCCAAGAACAATTTTTCACATATTCTAGGAGGACTACCTCCTTGCCATGTGTCACGAAAAAATTGACACGTTTTGGTCCATTTTGACAAGTTTTCGAAATCATATCCGGTGAGATAAAAGAGAATATGTGATTAATTTAAAGCTGTTTAACTGTTTTCCTAAGTACAAAACAATCGCGAACTTATTGTAAAACATCTTGCTTGCTTTCAGCAGTGATTCGAAAATGTATTTCTCTTCAAACCCTTTTCGCTATGGAATTTAGCCGAAAAGACTGTAAATGATAGCTTGGTGTACTTTGCTGCTGCTTATTTCGCTTCTAAAATGACGGAATCCTTGCGCAGTTCTCTCTTCTCAGCAAGTCTAATCTGCTCATCGATGATAGTATGTCGTTATTATTATGAAAATGTTTACTCTGGAACTGTTTGATCAAAATGAGGTCAAAGTTAAGTAAAAAAGAGATTAAACTTACATTGCTAGGTAGGGTAAAACAAACTCTTGATAAAACATGTTAAACATGTAGATGACATGTCAAATTTTTTTGGCACGTGGCAGAAGGTTGACACTCCTTTGTGAAGGTGGGACAAAATATGGTACAAGGATAGAAGCAATATCTTCTTTGAAAAAATGGGTCCGGATAACGGAAAAGTACCAGACTGAGCAGCTCCTACAACTACCTGATATATCTCCTTTTGAAGTTTAAATGCTTCTACAGTCGCTTCATTTCATATGATCATGTGTGCCATTGCACACACAGTCCACTTTGGCGTCCTCATCCTGGATTTGCAATCGCAAAAACGCAAGAGACTTACCGATTGTTATCGATTACATCAATTTGGGGTGACTAGTGACTAAAAAGGAAAGAAAATGCTAAGAACACCTTGGAAACACTTATCCGAAGGTTTGTTTCTCCCACGAGTCCAGGATGGGGACGCCAAAGGTGAACTGTGTGTGCAATGACACACATGATCATATGAAATGAAGCGACTGTAGAGTGTTATAAAACACTTATTATGTGCTGTTCGCTGTCCATCTGGCAACAAAAGTCGCGCCCCTTAACATACACCCCAAAATTGCCTGCGCCTGCGCCGAACTAGTTCCATGCCAACGCCTATTGAGCGCTGAACATCGCTGGCACGGCGCTGGCACAGTGTCGAGGACGTAAGCTGTGACGCGTTTGTGTCAGTCTCAAGTAAACAGTGAGCCGCTCAAGAATCTTTCTACTAGAAGTTATCGCAAAGCCAAGTTTGAAGAATAAAACTAAACAAAGAATTACTGTGAAGTATTGGAAATTCGAACCGTGCTGGGAGCAAAATTGATTAAAATCCGTGAATCTACATATTTTGAATCTTCTGATTGATTTCTTCAGCAGCGTCCAAGATTGGTACAGATATTTATTCCACAATAAACAGACTGACGTTTCGGCAAACTCGCCTTCTTCAGAGTCTGAAAAGTCGAAAACACATAAGTGAACTATCCGATCAAATGCCTCATCGACCACAGAATACCAGATCATACGTCAGCGAGCCAACGAGCGTGAGAGCGTAAGAGACGGCGAAACAGCTGGGGGAAAAACGTGGCCTGTTATACCTTTTCCGCGTTTAGTTTATAAACCGCAGGAGCCTAATCAACCAGTGGACTCCAAATTTCGAGTATTTGCTACCGGACTCTTCTCAGTTCTTAACCAGTTCCGCCAAAAACGGCAAAATAGTAATTTAACACTTTTGCAACGCCGCGGCCTGCGCGAAATTCGCGACCTTTGTGCTGCCGGAGAGATCAAGGTGTCGGTCAGCGACAAAGGAGGGGAGTTCGTAATTCTCTCTCGTGATCTGGACATGGCTATCACGAAACATCATCTACAGGATACTACCGTATACGAGCCTGTGGCACCAAACGATTTCAGAAAGCAGTACCGCCGCTTGAATAGAGTATGGTTAGAGGTAGCTAAGGCTGAAGGCATTCCTAGGGCTATGGCTACACGTCTAAAGACCGATCTGCCTATGTGTCCTGTTCTCTACACTCTCATCAAGACACATAAGGTTTCCGTAGATAGTTTAGCGTCCAATAACCCTCAGGATTTTAAGGTTAGGCCTATCATCAGCAGCGTTGGTGGTCCTACGGATAGGATTTCGTGGTTTCTCAACACCATCCTTTCTCAACTGCTCCGATTTGTTCCCGCACATCTCTCCAACACAAAAATGTTTCTTGATCGCCTGCGCAGCACAAGCGTAAGGCAAGGGTGCGTTTTGGAGTCTTTCGATGTAGAATCGCTCTATACCAACGTTTCCAACAACGCCGCCATGCAAGCGACATTCGAACTTCTTCTAGAACACCAGTCGTCACTTAATCTCTATGGTCTTAGCATCAGAGGCATCTTGTCGTTGGTTAAAGAATGCCTCAACTGTTCCATCTTTCGTTGGTGTGGCAACTATTACAGGCAAATAAGAGGACTGGCTATGGGACAAAGGCTAGCGCCGACTTTAGCTATTGTTTTCATGTCCAAGGTGGAAGCTCCGGTACTGGCGAGTAAGCCTCTCCTCTACTGTCGGTACGTGGACGACTGCTGTATCGTGTGTCCCACTCAGGCCGAACTGGATTCCTGCTTCAATATCATGAATGCCCAGGACAGGAACATCAAGATGACGAGGGAAAGACCCAAAGATGGATGGCTGCCGTTCCTCAACGTGCAGTTATGTTTGTCAGGCAGACGTTTTAAGACCAGATGGTACCGAAAGCCGAGCAGCAAGAATATCTTAGTACACCATACGTCAGCACATCTGGCACGAATAAAAGCATCCATCATAGATAACATGTTTAGAACGGCTGCGGGGGTCTCTTCTGACAGAGAGGAAAAGATGTACTCGATGGAACTCGCAAGATCCGTAGCAAGATCCAATGAATACTGCACGGAGACTCATCGTCTTCACAGACACCAGGTTCATCGTCCACCTAGATCAGAAGCTGAGGATCAGATCTCATTCTGCCTACCATGCATCTCAGAAGAGTTTAGTAGAGCTGTTCGCAAAGTGCTCCATCAAGCAGACCTCAACGATATGGTAAGGATCGTCGACATTCCTCCTGCAAACCTTAAGCAGCAGCTGGTACGAAACCGCGAGTATGATCGTCTCTGTACAACTCCTCATTGTGTAGTTTGTCCGTTTGGCAAGGAAGGAGACTGTATGGTATCAGGTGTTGTCTACCTTATCACGTGTACAACATGTGGAGACACGTATATTGGCGAGACAGGCCGCCCCCTATGCACCCGCATCAAAGAACACTTAGATGGTCTCAGCAAGGGCAATGTAGCTACTCCGTTAGGCATGCATCGCAGGCTCAGCCATGACGACGCGGAGGTGGGAGTGCAGGTTCGAATCCTGGCGCGTGAACCCGAGATCTTAGCGCGCAAGACACTCGAAGCGTTTTGGATAGCCGCCCAAAATCCAAAAATCAACCGGAAGGATGAGTGCCTAGCCATTACTAACGAGCTGTCACCTTATCAGAGCCTTTGTGGCTTTTGAATAATGAGGTCAGGTCAGGACCGGGTCACTAGATTAGTATAAAAGTAATGCAGTACAGTTCTTGACATAAGTGGTCTGCACCCACCTAATCTATTATCTCTTAAGGTGAGCACTGGCTTAATCTTGCGTTTTGGTTGATACTGTTGCTTTTCTAGAGGGTTGGGCTTTTTTCTGTGGTCGATGAGGCATTTGATCGGATAGTTCACTTATGTGTTTTCGACTTTTCAGACTCTGAAGAAGGCGAGTTTGCCGAAACGTCAGTCTGTTTATTGTGGAATAAATATCTGTACCAATCTTGGACGCTGCTGAAGAAATCAATCAGAAGATTCAAACTATGCCAAGATTTATAAATAGTCGAACATGGATTCTGATGAATCTAAATATTGTACTGCTCAGCACGATTTGCGGTAGATGAAGTGTCATTGGTAAAGCATATTTTCAGTGAAAGTTGGATCCGGTGTGGTGGAAGGCGCCAAGTCCGCAGGAAAAGCAGTGGGCGAGACCGCAAGTGAGCTCTTCATTTTTAATACCAGTTGAGATCAGTGCTGGCGACAATTTACAAGAATATTTTAACTGGCGCTGTTTGCAGAAGCTTCTTCTGCTTTTTTAATAGGTATTGTTACATTATTCAATAGACAAAAGCATTCTTACAAAGTTTGACTATGTGGAGTTTGGAACCGTAAACTAGAAAATCTTGACTGCCCAAAATTCGCGCTTCTAGTAAGAAAAATTTCACTGACGCATCAAACATGCTCATGCATATACTCTTCACATCAGATATCTAAATATTTATGTATGAAGTTACTTGAAAGACAGAAATAAAAAGTTGTTTGAAAACAAGAATAGACAAAAGATACCGAGACGTTTCTTTTTCGAGTCTAATGCAACTGACTATGTTTTACTCTCGGGTTCTATGCAACTGACTATCGCAGAATGCTAAAAACTTTTTTTTTCAAAGGATTATCAAAGATATTTATGTATAAGACGATTGTTACCTCTGTTAGGCTTCTTTAGGCTGCAACATGCAGGGCTGAGCAAGTTGAAACGACATTTTTGTCTTCGAAACTAGCACTTGACACATTGTTGCTAACATATTGGCAGGGCCCGGCACGCGTTGGTTTGGAGCCTTTTGGGAAACGAAGTTCCCCATGACTTCGTGGAAATTTACGCAGTTCCTCTTGACGTAAAATCAGTAGGGTAACCCTTATTTGATCAAAATAACAATGAAAAAGCGAAAAAAGTGCATTTTGAGGTATCTAATATAACAAAAAAGCAAAAAAAAAACAATTCGGTTTGATTAAAGGCTCTGCCATTGGGTATGGTACCGTTTTAGTGCTCAGAATGTCGAAAACCTCCTAGGCCGACCAAATCTGTGGCCTCAACAATCTGACGATGCATTTTTCGCCACATAGTTTAAAGGACATCGCATGTGATTGGAGCGCGATACTTATCAATGCTTAGCTTTACACTACTTTTGGCTCAAAAAAGAGGAGAGGCAATGGTTTGATTCTCCCTCTTCACTACATGATACATTTTTGACCGTTATAATCGTCCAAATCAAAAAGATCCGAAACTTATGTGAACTCTCCGAGATTTATGCTCCGAACCAACCCAGTTGGTATGGTGGTTGGTCTAGAAACCAACAAATTCGGGAACGAGTACTAGGACACAAGTTTTTGGAACTTTTTACATAACATAGTTTGGAGTAATATTGTATACACATAGCCCAAATTCGAAGCCACGTGATTGTTTGTGCGCTGTAAACAAGCCATTTGTTTGTTTGAGTCTTGCGTTTGAATTTCGCGCGCTTGCGAAAGAACACGTTCAACTCGTAAAACCTGACATGTTCGTCGTTTTTTTTTGGCGCTTCCCCCAGGACCCTATTAAAACGATATCCCCGTTGCCTCTTACCTCAAAAACGAAGTCTAGTTTGACCTCGAACCATCTGTGCCGGGCCCTGCATATTGGTGCATGTTGAAAAGATGTTAGCCATGTGTGTCGCAGATAAGAAACACAGAAAAAAACAGCTGCGGTCACAGATCGGCCGATTAATGAAAGCAGCCGAACATTGCTTTGAAAAATTTGCTTATTTTCTTTTTTTTTGAATGCAAATCATGGAAAAATGCAGCAACGGCACATATGAACATCTGTGCGAGTACATGCGTGGAACAAGTCGGAAGTTTCTATGATATATTACACAGATATCCGATTCGGGTATCGCAAAATTTCTGAGATTTCTGCCTTTTTGTCAAGTTTTGAGAAATGTTTAAGAAGAATCTTGTACTTCTTCAACATAAGAGTCACAGCCTCCGCTTGCGCGGCTCCTCCAACGCGGCCGCCTCGCTTAGGCCGCGCGCGGCGTTTGCGGCGCATCGTCCGGGCATTTTGCCAAGCTTCAGTCGATGCGCAGCCTGGTGCATGCGCCGGCAGCATTGACTGAGACCTGGCAAAATACCCGGACGATGCGCCACGAACGCAACGCTGACCTAAGCGTGGCGGCCGACGGGACGGCTGTGACACTCAGGATGTAAAGCCCTGTAGAGTTTGCTCTGTTCTATCAGATGGTGGCCCAAGACTTATCATATTCCACAGTAGCTGCACCCTTGTCCTCCGTCTGGTGACAACATGTAGCAACATGTTGGCGCGGGGGCTGATCGCCAAAATGTTCTGCCAACATATTGTTGCATGTTGCAAACATGTTGGCAGAATATTGCTAACGTGTTACCGTACGTGCCGCAGGTCAGAGACACAGATCAAGTATAGCAGCAACTGTGGAAGGAATACTTACAAGGGAAGATATATGACTTGCAGTGGAGTTTCCTTATGAGATGTTTATCAGTCGAAAAGTCTTTGAACGCTGATTTTTAACAACCTTCCATATCTGCTTATCGATTTACTGAACAAATTTACAAGCATCTGTTCGGCCTCAAAGGCAGTGTCCGGGCAAAAAGTCGATTTGGAGATTTTGTGCTTACCCGGGCCTATTCCCTATGCTGAATCCGAATATCCACATTGGAAAGCGCGAAAACGGCGAAAAAGGGCTCTAACGCAGGAATGAAATCAAAAGTGGGCGGGGTCTCCCCCAAGGTGAATTCACGGTCCCAGTTTTCGGAGCGATCTTTTCAATTCCAGTAACCGCCCTGACATCTCAACGGACCAAGTGCGAATGCATGATCTGAAGTCGGAAACGAAAAGATCGCTCCAGGAGCTGGGACCGTGAATTCACTCTGGGGAAGACCCCGCCCACTTTTAATTTTTCTCCTGCGTTAGAGCCCTTTTTCGCCGCTTTCGCGCTTTCTAATGTGGATTTTCTGATTCAGCGTAGCGAATAGGCGGGTAAGCACAAAATCTCAAAATCGAGTTTTTGCCCGGACACTGCCTTTAAGGTGCTCGAATTTCAAATGACACCGATTTTGGTGCTTATTACAGAGCTAAGGCGGCAGAGTTGCTCCAAAACATTCCCATAAGCTTTTTTCATGTACAATAAATGTATCAGGTGGGTCAGTTCATGCCGTTTTAGACCTATTCTCAAATCAGTCAGAATAACGATAGATTCAGCTGTTATGTTTTTGTTCGGATTCCTTTAGTGTTCTTTCGAATAAGCGCCACAATTTCCAACCTATGCAGTTTACGTTCTCTAACTTTGGTTTTTTTTTTTTGAAATTTTCGTTCTGGACCTTTGAAAAAACCTTGATAACAGATGAATGGAGTAAACAAAATACTACAAAACACAATTTTTTGGCGTCGATAGCTGGCTTCTTATTGTTTTAAAAACAAGTTTTCCAATAGTCTTCACATCTGCGAAATTGTAAAATACACTTTTGACACTTTGAAATCTTCGTAAATTGGAACTTCCAAAATTCGATCGTAATTAAATATTAATCTCAGCAAACAAATGAGTTTCTACCACCTCGATATTGAGCCTGGGACGCATCAAAGAAAAGAGAACGGCAATTTTTTCCTTGAAACTTTTACGAATCAGAAAGGAAAAACACCTGTCGAAAAGAGGAGAAGAAGCTGCATCGCAGACACCATAGCTGTTTGCCGTTTATTGTTCTACGAGGTTTGGAATATAGATATATCAAATTTGGTAGCATGAAAATGATGATTTTAGGGTGGGTAAACACCATAAGTTGAAGACTTTGACTTTTATGCGAACATCAGAAAAATCCGAACAAAAACATTATTTCTGGAAAGAGCAAGAAATTCTGCATAGAACACTCTTTAGAATGTTTGTCTATCTTTATTCTGAATGATTTGAGGATAGGTCTAAATACGGCACAAATTTTCGGACCCACCTAATATCTCAGACATTTGGGCGCTTGACTTTGGAGCAAATTCACATTTATTAGGTCGGCTAAAAAATAAGTTCGTTTTGGCATACAAATCATCATGAAAAATTTTCTTGTTGTTTTCAATCTATGATTCTTTGTGGGAAAGTAGTTCAAAGTTTTCTCTATCACATTCAAAAAATCAGGATTTTCTATCGTCGGTGAAGACAGTTACGCCTCAACATGGCGAAATTTCCAAAAGCTCAATTCTTTGACTTCCCAAGCTTCGTTTTCAAGCTGTAATGGATGTAAAGAACTGCAGTTTGGTGTTTGGATACAGAGTAGTTTTCCCCATTTAGTGAACAGCAAAAAGTACTGTGATCACTCTGAAAATGTTTCACTAACCAAATTTCCACATTTTTACGCATTATGAGAAAATTGCGCTTTCCCGCTTCTTTGCGGATTTTTTGCCTTGGAAAATAAGTTTTTCGAACAGAATATATGGTCCAATACCCAGTGACGTGCTCTTTTCAGAGATACCAAACATTGGACAAAAATTTGTCTACAGCATTTGTAAGAGCTAAAAAAGCGCGAACTTATTTATTAGCCAACCCAATATTACGAATTTAGGTCATTTACACAGTACCTGGAAATGCAAATTGAAAAACGAAAAATGCTTCTCACTTTGTTCAGTGAACCGATAAGCAGATATGGAAGGTTTTTCAGATCAGCGCTCAAAGATCTTTCGAACGATATACAACTCAAAATAAAACTCTACTGCGAGCCATGTATCTTCCGTTGTTAGTTATGAAAATAGCATAAGTTTTTGCAAATTTCTATTGGACAGAATCCAGAGACAATCCGAAAACAAATTCGCCATAACTTAGGCTTTACCAATTTCGTTAAAGCCAGTGTCCGGGCAAAAAGTCGATTTTGAAATTTGTGCTTACTCAGGCATGTTCGCTATGTTGAGTCCGAAAATTTATACTGGAAAGCGCGAAAACGGCGAAAAAGGGCTCTAACACAGGTGTATATTAGCAGGTGGGCGTGACCCGGCACAGACGGTCTCGGGTCAAACTGGACTTTAATTTTGAGGTTAGAAGCAACGGGGATATCGATTTTATAAGGTCCTGGGCTGAGCGCCAAAAAAACGACAAACATGTCGTGATTTACAATTAAACGTGTTCTTTCAAACGCGCGTATTTCAACGCACGACTCAAACAAATAAATGGCTTAACAGCGCCAAATAATCACATGACACTAAATTTTGGCTATATGTCACAATATTACTCCAAACCATATTATGAGAAAGTTCCAAAAAAAGTGTCCTAACACCCGTTTCCAAATTTCTTGATTTATAGACCAACGCCAAACCAACCGGGCTGGTTCGGAGCATAAATATCGAAGAATTCACACAGGTTTTGAATCTTTCTTGACGGATTAGACGATTGAAACGTGGACGATTATAGTGCTCAAATATCTATAAAATAGCGAAGAGGGCGAATCAAATATTGCCTCCGCTCTTTTTTTGAGCCAAAAATAATGCAACCTTACGCATTGAAGATATCGCGCTCCAGCCACATGCGGTGTCTTTTGAACGTGCGAAAAATGCATTGCCAAATTGTTGAGGCCACAGATTTGCTTGGCCTAAGAGGTTGTCAACATTCTGAACGCTGAACTGGTGCCATACTTAATGACGGAGCCTTTAATCGACTCTGCTTAATTTTTTGTTACATTAGATACTTCAGAGTACCCATTTTTCGCTTTTTTATTGTGATGTTTGAATAAGGGTTTTATTGACTTTCACGTCAAAAGCGACTTCGTGAACTTTTGCGGAGGAACTTCGTTGCCAAAAGTGCTCCAAACCAACGCGTGCCGTGGCCTGGGTGGGCGTGATCTTCCCAGTGTGAATTCCCGCTCCCATCTTCCGCAGCGATCTTCTCGATTCCAATTTTAAGTCAGGCGTTCACATTTGGCTGGCGGCGATGTCAGGGTGGCTATTGGAAGCAAGAAGATCGCTCCGGAAGTTGGGAGCGTGAATAGACAGTGGGAAAGACTCCGCCTACCTGCTAAATTCCCTCCTCGGTTAAAGCCCTTATTCGCCGTTTTCGTCTCTCCAGTGTGGATTTTCAGATTCACCAAAGCGAATAGACCCGGGTCACAAAATCCCAGATTCGACTTCTCGCCCGGCCACTGCCTTTAAGTCTACTTCAGAAATAGGTTCAATAACAACTTGGCTTAGATCCTTGCTGAAATTTTATCTTGGTTGTCAGTGGTACCCTTATTTCCCATGATAACTATAAAGGGATAGAACTATATCTTGGAGAGGTGATTTAGTGACCTTGATGTCATTGTCCCGGGAATTTCCCGCTTTTGCGTCTCTTACCTTAGTACTAATTGAAATGCTCGGAAGGTTTGGCAAGTTGGTTTGTCCTGAAGTCTGTATGAATTGCCTGAGAACTTAGGGTATTTGTTCTGAAGGAAACTTTAGCTCGCGCTAGTGCGCCTCAGCGGGAGTACTCCAGTTTGAAAAAGAGGTCGCTGTTTTTTCGGATGACACTTGCCATTTATTTTCTCGTATACGCATATGTTAGCGAAAATTGCACTTTTTTCACTCAATTTCTTTATACTCCACCTTTCCGTAGCTTGGACCTCATCTTAAATTTTGAATTTTGATAATTTTGAAGCTTCCTTGGGAGCTGCTGACGAGGGGCACCAACGATCTGCACTACCGGTATAGTTCTAAGCTCCGAAACCGGATAGTATAGAAAATGAACAAAAAGGAATTGAATTTCTTGTCTTATTAATATTTATCAAATTCTTTTGACTGATAAAAAACACAAAATCTGTCGTTATTGTAATAAATCACAATCTCAAATCGTTCATCTTTTCCTGCAGACTTCACAGGATTGCCACAAGTACATAAAGCTTTAGTTGACTTCAAAGATTGAAAAGGATTTGGAAGATAGGATTAAGCGGGTTGTGACACGCCACATCTGCGGGTCGTGTCAACGGCTCAGGGCGGGGAGGGAATCGAAATTGAAACGGTATCTGAGACGACCTCATTGCAATAAAAGCACATTGAGGCCCATATGCTTTGAAATTCCTGCGGTGAAGGGAGCGGCGTCCCTCGTTATGAGGAGGCCCTTCATCAACTTTGAAGAAAGGAAAAGACTTCAAAGAGAAGATCAGAGGTCGCCGGAGATCATCAGGGATCATACAACCTGAAAATAGCGGCTTATGAAATTGCTTGACTATGTTTATACACAAGAGTAGCAGAAACGCTTGGAATTGGATGGAGGTATTAAATTCCCACAGATTATGAAGCTCTTTTTGAGCTGCGATCTCCTCCCTCGTAGGGGTTCAAACGCATCCCCTTCTTAGGTGGCCGTTCTTCACGTAGCGTGCGGGGCTCAGCACAGAAGTTTCCATTAATCCCTGTTTCTCGCTTCTGACATCCACGATCTCGGATGTTGTGGATATCAATATAACTGCATTGACGTTAGTATTGCTTCGCCAAGCACATAGTTGCCAAACTTGACAACTAATTCCATTATCTTTCTTTCCCATCCGCTTTTGCGGAAGAGGCTTATGCGTCACTTAATCATTTGCAAGAATTGCAGGCGATGCAGCAAATGCCGTTGGAGAAACTGCATCTGAGGCCGTTTCAGGCGCTCGAAATGCCATAGGTAAGAAAATAATTTATTGGCTAACTTAAAGAAGAGATTCTATGATTTTTACGGAAAGAAAACTTTTTTGAAGCTGAACAACTTTTGTGAATATACTCCGAGAAGCACTGGATCTGAAACTTGCTTTACTTTCAGGGCATACGTTGAAAAAGACCGGCGAAGCTATCGAAGAAGATGAATAAACAGTTCTTTCTTCTCAGTCACAGAGTCAGTGACCTATACACATGTATTTATGTATGTTCGCAAAGTCTCATATTATTGATCATTGCTGAATCGTGAATAATATCCTCTAAGCAGTCCTAGCCAAGCCTGTAAATATTTATAAGCAGCAAGTGGAGCAATATGAACACATTAATCTCTTGATAAATATACATTGTAATATAATACACATTGTCAGAATCGTTTGATTGTTAAATGAGCATTTATGCAACGAAAGTCATGGCTGATTGCAAGTTCATGTTATTTTATATTTGTATTTTAAGCATAGCCATGCCGAACATATAGAACCATCACAAAATCGTAGGGTTGGATTCGACTGCGGTGCTTGCGCCCACTCAAAATTCACAAGAGCATATGATGCTTCAAAATAGGTAAAACTTTAGTGTTCAATCACGGCTACATCCAAGCAAATCTGAACATCTGGGTATCGCACGTGAAACTGACTTCGAAGTTCAACTAAGGCCCGTATGCACGTACATCTCCGCGGATGAGGGGAGGGGATCTGATAACGGAGCCAGCTGAGTATTGGCATGTACTCACTGAGCCTTGGGGGGGGGGGTAGTAACAAATTTGACCCATCAATTGCAATGCGTTATTCTGGAGCAGGTTATAGGCTCTAACGGCTTACAGGATGATCTTTTCCAAAAAATAATTTTTTGTCTGACGCTTTGCTAATTTGAGAAATTTTCAGGCAAACTTTTTGCTTATAATAAAGATTGGCCAAATTCCCTTTCGCACATAGGTGCGATAGGGAGAGCGGAGTCTCCTCCAGGTGAAGGGGGCTTCGTTTCTGACCTAAAAAGGTGAAGAGGGTAACTGACTGAGGTGAGCGCTGACCTAAGCTTACATGCGAGTAGGACTGGGGTGTGCAAAAAGGAAAAATAAGTGTACAGAGGTGTAATATGAAGAAGTTCTTATTGCATTGGTTTTGAAAGGTCATCAAACTGGGACTTTTTGATTTAGGAAAACTTTGTCTTGTCAGTCAACATACCATCCGAAAGCTTGATACATGTGGAATAAACGCGCATTGTTTATTTTTTCCAACTCTCCTGCTAGTTCACATATAATTTTTTTTATCTAGCAGTAACAGCTGATTTTATGCAGTCACTTTGCGCTCCATTTTTGAAGATAAGAGGGAAGCTCAGAGAAAAAGATGATTTATGTTCACTGGCAAAGTCTTGCTCTGTGATACAGTTAGACAATCAAGCGTCTTGATTTATTCTTGCGTAAATTTCTCATGAAAATACGTATGTTTTCAAATCGAATGCCACGTGTCTACGAGAGAGGGGCGCTAGGAAAAAGGGGCGGTTTATGTCGAATCCCCGTTTCATGAGCTTGCTAACGGTATACATTGTTAGATGGAAAAGCTTGTGGACTTTTAAAAATGGGGTGGAGGTATTTACAATATAATATATCTTATATCTTCCAATATATACAATATACAATATATATACAATATCTTCCAATATATACAATATATATTTATTGAAACAATGTTGCTCATTTATGGGATCAGGTGACCCTCAAATTTTTTAGGTTTATTTCGCCAAAACTAAACCGCTGTGAACGAGGCAGGATTTCAACCCTGCGTTTTTATCGCAAACGCCGTAAAAGTGCAGTCATGTCATGCACTGGCTTAGAAGAAGCGCAACTGGCGGTCTCAAAAAAAAACTACCCCATTGATCATAAATGTCTTATTCTACCACTATGCCTTAACCCTAGTCCCAACCTCAGGTGAAAAGAATTATCTAGATGTCGGCCCAAAAGTGAAAGGGTGGGGGCAGAGAAATTGTTCCACCTGAGGCAACGACTAAAAAGAAGCATCGGTAATCTCTATGTTTGCATTTATTGACATTATTGACCAAAAATTTGCATCTTGTGCAGATAAACAGGGATTTATACTTCTTTATCCTCGCAAGTGTCCTGCTTATGTAGAATCTGCTTTTCTTGTCAAATGTCTCCATGTTTGTCTGTCTGAGACAAGGCCTTGGTCTACTTCAAGTTCTCGCAGATCGGCCTTGATTCTGTTCATCAACCTCATCTTAAGCCTGCCTCTGGGCCTTTCACCTGGGTCCTCCACCGCCAGGGCTAACCTTGCAACGTGATTTTCTTCCCTTCTGCGCACATGCCCGTACCATCTTATCCTTATTTTACTGCATTTTCTGGGCAGTCCAAAATACTTTCATTCGAGCTCGTATAATGTCATTGCGGATGTGATCTTTCAAAGTGACTTCCAAAGTTCATAGTAGCATTCTTGTTTCCATGACACTAAGCCTGCGCTCCTCGTTCCGCGTACATGGCCAGCATTCGCTGCCATACAGCACTGCTGGAAGGACAACGGTAGGGCACAGTTGGGACTCAAGTTGCACTGAGATTTTTTTATTGCACAGAATTCCTGTTAAGGCTCTTTGGTTTACCCATGCTGTGTTTATCCTGCCTGCGGCCTCCTCTTGTAGGCGTCCTTCCTTAGAGGTGTGACTGCCTGGGTACTTGTATGTCTTCTATAACTTTTCACCATCAGTGTTTATGGTACCTAGTTGTTTTTGCACTTCTATGCACTCTGTCTTCTTGGTGCTGAGCTTCAAGCCACACGACTTTAGCCTGTTTTTTCCATTACTGTACCTCGTCTTGAAGCTCCATTATATTACTTGATAACAAGACCACATCGTCTGCTTAGAGAAATGTCCAAGGAAATTCGTGTCTGAGTGTTCCATCATGGCGTTCATCACAGAAATGCAGAGCAAGAGAAAACTAATCTCCTACACGTCAATCGTGATTTAGAACTCTTTCGAATACCCTGCAGCCGTTTGCACACGTGACTTGAAGCGTTATGGTAGAGATTAGCTTGATCCATTGAACGTCCTCTGACACCTGTGTTTCCGTAAGGCTCACCATCTGACTTCATGGGGCACCTTATCGAAAGCCTTCTTCAGGTAGAGGAAGGCTGCACGCAGTTTCTTCTGCTTCTCTTTATATTTCTCCATCACTAACGTAGCGGAGTGGATGACGTCGGTTGTACTTGCTTCTTCCACGAATCCGCTGATTCGACGACAACTCTATGATAACTCGAAGCCGTGTTTTGATTATTCGCTCAAAGATTTTTAGAGTGTGGCTCATCAATCGGATTGGTCGGTAGGATGCGCAATCTGCTACTTCTCCTTTGTTCATACCGGGATCGTTGCGCTGGTGCACCAGTTACGAAGCATAATCTTGCTCCTTTTGATTTGATTGAAGTGACTTGTTAGCCATGAGGCTCAGCGCTGTCCACATATTTTCCAGAACTCGCTTGGTATGTCTCTGGACCAGTCGTTTTACCATCCTTTGTTCTTCCTACAGCTAGCCATACTTCCTCTTCCATGACTGTTGGTACTGATCCTTCTACGGGACTAAAACTTCTGGGATAGAGTTGACGGTGCGGCCTGTGTTGGCCATCTCTCTTAAGTAGGTTCTCCATCTTTCCGTAATGTCCCCTGGTTTTCTTAGCCGTCATACTCTTTGTCTCTAATATGGAGAAAGTATTCCAAATCATTTGTGGATTCCGCTCTACTTTTCGCAATCCGGTATATCTCACGTCCTCCGTCGCGAGACTCTAGATGATCGTAGAGCTCTTTCAAGTACACCTATGTTGCCCTCTTTACGAAAGCCTTGCATGTTTGTTGCTGGTATGTTTGCGATCGTCCTCCGACTTCGTCTTATGCCATCGCTTGTACGCACCTTTTCTTCTTTAAGGCTCTCTGCACTTTGTCATTCCACACCGCGTTTCTCGATTAATCCTCCTTTATTTTGTACTTCACAGGATCGCGCGTGGCACTTGTGGACTCCATATTTCAAGTTTGCCTTAGATCGCTCTGGGTTCTCCCGCAGGCTTTAAAGAGCTGTTAGTGACGCTTGCTTTGCCGTTGGTCTTTAATCTTCAAAATTTGATGCGTGTCCTGGTCTCTGTGGTTCTCCTGATGTGCCTATCCGTTAGGATTCTGATGTCGAGAAGCAGTAGTTTATGTTGAGATATGCAACTCTTACTGGAAATGACCTTGCAGTCCTTTATTTCCGAGGTCGCACTGTCAAATAGCCCAAAAGTCTATCTGCATTCGTCAGTCGTCACTCGTATACGTAATGAGGTGGTCATTCTTCATGATGGACAGTATGCGTTCGCCAAGACCAGATCATGAGCTGCGGCGAATTCCAGAATGCGCTCACCTTCTTCATTGCATGCTCCGTATCCGTAGTTTCCATTGCACATCTCGGCTCCTCGCCTTTCTCCAACATGTCCATTGATCCGCTCCCAACCGTAATGTTTCATCCAGTAAAATTAGACTGATAAGGTCATCAAGTCCCTGCCAAAACTCATCTTTTTCATCTTTCTTACATCCAACTTGTGGCGCATATGTGGTGATTACTCGTAAAATTTGTTTCCCAGTATCTATCTTTATGATCATCAGACGGTCGTATGCGTTCAACGTCGACTATATTGCTCCTTAGAGACTCTGAGACAGCTATACCACCTCCGTTTCTGGTGCAGGTGCCACTGCTGTAGAGGAGCTTATATCAATCTGCGATATCGCGTAACTTTGCCCCTCTCCATTTGTTTCCTGTACGCAGGTCACATCGACTCGCCGTCTCTTCAGAAGATTTGCTAGTTTTCGAGAACGAGAGGTGAGTGTGCCCATATTATGGTAGCTAGATCGAGAGTCTGTGATGCCTTGAATCGTTGCCTCTGCTGACTGAGTTAGCCGCTTTAAGTTGTACTTATGATGCGACGGGGAGTTTCTCAGCCGGCTTGTCGCATGGCCTTCTTTAGAAGGGCAGCCTGACGCTGAAAATGTAAGCAGAATTTTTGCCGCAGAAATTAGGCTTCATTTCGGTCGCCATGCCATGTAGAAATATTCCGACCACTTTGTAGAGCGAAAATATGTTATTGTTAACATGTCAGCAGGTTACTGGTATGCCTGATTACGCTCTTTAAATCAAAGCTTAGTGTACACGTGTTGTTCGGTGGTTAACGCGTGACCCTCGCTGGTCAAACTAGGGTTCCATCCCAGCAAGGTGCAGTGGTTTTGCGGTCAACCTTACATTGCATTGTGATTACATATCATTACGTACTATGTATAAACCTACACAAATTCGCGCACTTCAAAGGCAGTGTCCGGGCAAGAAGTTACTTTTGATATTTTCTGTTTACATGGGCCTATTCGCTATGCTGAATCCAAAAAATCCACATTGAGGTGCGCGAGAATGGCAAAAAAGGGCTCTGACGCAGTAAAAAAATTAGCAGGGGCGGATTTTCCTCAACTGTACCCGTCACTTGATTCAGGAAAGATCTTCTCGAATCCGCTAGTTCCCATATAATCGGCAATCCAAGAAGACCACTTTGAAGTCTGGAGAGTGACTTCACAGCTGGGGAAGCCCCCCCCCCCGATGATTTCCCTTCTGCGTTAGAACCTTTTTTCGCCGTTTTCGCGCTCTCCGTTGTGGATTTTCGGATTCAGCATAGCTATTAGACCCAGGTTAAAACAAATCTCAAAATCGATTTCCTGCCCGGACACTGCCTTTGCCAAAAAAGAATGAGCTTGTCGTGAGGAAGTCGCCGTCACATCTTGTGCAACATGTCGGGTAATTATTACCGACGATGCGGATTCTATATGGCTAACGGTTCTCCTAGCTTCTCATGCAAAAAGTTACAAGCATTTTTACAAAAAAACTTCCCAGATCTGGGAAGACAACTGCGACCATCTTCATTTGACAAAAATTCACTTTATTTCTCAGGAATTGTATGTTTCTGAAAATTGGACTTGATCATACCTTCTTGTCTTCACATTTATCAAAAAAATTATGATTATCTTGTTACAATGCAAAATACATGCACTATTTTATCATTGCTTGTATTGTCTGTTACTTCATATAATCCGTATGAGATCTCAAAGCTAACAATGAGTCTAATCCAGTGCTGTCCTTGATCTCGATTGTCGGGCAAGTTAGGGCTTCACAGAAGTGCCTGGATAATTTTGTAAAATCATATCTTACGCTCTTCCATTTACCAAAGCTACATTACAGTTTTCATCATTAGATACTATTGGTTACCAGGGAAGAAGGGCCCCTACCCCAAGAATGGGTCGCAAAATGTTTTGAAAGTCACTTAAATGGGTAAGAAAGTGTGCAAGGATTTATTTATACTTGTGAATAATCAAAATAATTTTTTTTACAAATAATTAAGATACTTTTCAGATTTTTTTGAAGGTTAAAATTAGCTTTGTAAAAAGTTTTCGGAAGCGTGGTGGCAGCCACGCACCTTTTTCTTTCTATACCGGGTCACGGGCTCACAAAAGCGTTGAGGAGCATCTCAAAATAATTTTCGAAGTGTAAGTATCTAACGCCACGCATCTTCATCCGACAAAGATTTTTGTCCCCCCCCCCCCAACGGAAATCCTGGGGAAGCACTGTTGGTTACACAATTTCGAGGTCTGAATGGTTGCTGAGTTTTTCTTAATCCTTCATCTTCCTCACTTTGAAAAACAAAATTCTCGCAGACAACTCAAGCACCATTAACTGTGTGCAGTTTTCCTCCGCATTTTATGTAGTCCTTAAATGTAAAAAAGCTAATTTCTGGCTGTATGTCCTCCTCCACGTCGTCTCCAAGTAAAGTCGAAAACTCTCAGTCTAAGGGCGAAAAAAAAAACGATTCCATTCTTAGTTCCACATCTTCCAGTTCTTTTCTCAAAAGCTGTGGGAAGGATGTCAGCTGGTTCCGGCCTAGGGGGTAGGGGGTGGGACACATCATATGTAGATACAACAAGGAATCACAAGCAATGAGATGCAGAAAAACAGCATGATTTAATATTTTACTGCTGAACAAAAAGATACAACGAATGAGAATTTTGATGGAAGAGGTGGTCACTTGAGAAAGGCAAATGTAACGCTGCTGAACAACGATTCCATGTATTCTAAGTTTATGATAATACACTACAATCACTTCTCGTACTTAGCAGTATCCTAATGTAATCTATAAAAAGCTCGCTCAGCAATGGTTGCGCAAACTGTAAAGCTGTACGTGGGAACAAGGAGATGAGTACTCAAGTGACAATATTTATGATTATAAGCAATGAGTCGTATGCAACTCAACAAAATCACTTCTACAGTAATTGTAGAATTGTGACTTAGCAGCTCCTGCAGAAAAACAGCAAATAGACCCGGCTCGAATGAGCCGTATATTGCTGCCTAACATTAAAGCCAGCAGTACAGTTAAAAGGGTATTTACATGGCTGTTTTGAAAGAGATACGACGCCTACAGAATGAACAATTCTTTTGACAACCTAAAAGTAAAAATGTCAAATTTTTCGTACATGGTGGACAAGCTCAGCGAGCGATTGTGACTGTGCATCAGAGATCGGCAGCAGTGCCATATCTGGAGTGGCGCGGATATATGTATTTATGCGATCGGCATGCTCAGCGACAAAAAGCACGTCTCGAAGCAAAGCCGGCTGTTGCGGTTTCACTGATGGTGCTGTGAGAGATAATTCCTCCATTAGGGCAGGTCGATCTTCGAAATATCCAAAAACGCTGTGGCAAATCGTCAGCAACGGAATCAACTCTTCCTAAAAAAGTTTCAGTCAAAAGCAAAACTAATTAGCAGAAATTCAAATAAAGGTGCTTCAGCCAAGGACGTAACAAAAATACTAAAACCTCTAATAAAACTGATGTGAGGCAAAATTAGGCCTATGCAAATGGTAATCTTCTTAGCCGAAATTACATTTGACATCAGAATTTTACATAGTCAAATTGTATAACCATACTTTTATCATACTCTCTTTTCGATCGTGATGTTTGGCTACCCAAAATATTGCGTAGTCTGAAACGGCGATAAGGAAGAGTGGATTGAAAGACTCATGTTTTTAGGAGCTTATGGATGAAAATTAGCAGGATAACACTCGAAGGGTAACGTAAAGAGAGTGGGCGCCTCAACTGTATTGCCGAGAAAACTTTAGCAGTCAAATTTTATGCTATAACAAAAAAGGAAAAAATGCTTCAGAACAGATTTTTTTGCAGGAAAATAGTTTGTTGTGTAGGTCAAAAAATATCAATATCTATGTAAAGAAGTTGCGCCAGAAGCTATACGCTCCGCGACGATTTCACGGCGGCGTCTTGGAAAAGACTATTTTGAAGGGTGCTCAGAACAGTCTCTAAAGCTTTTTACGAGTATCCAAAGCTTCGACAAGGATTTTTGGTCATTGGAGGCTGTATTCTGTTTCGAAACAAAGCCAAATAAGCCAAAAACTCCTATACTACGGTAATGGGAGCCGCTGATTTCGCATTTGAAATTCCCATTTTGCTGTGATGCTTCTTTCCTAAGTTATCCCCGGTAAATCGTAATAATTCTTCCCACCATTTGTCAGAAATGTGATTACACCGTCAAAAAGCTGAAAACACTCGTAAAAAGTTGTTAGATGGTATCAGCATGCGCGAAAACCCTAGTACACGATTTTTCAAATTTTTTGAAAAAAGTTTTGTTAGGTGGTATATTTCACAATGGTTCCATATGCTGGAAGCTCTTACCGTAATCCTACAGTAACAAAAAGCGATCGATGATTCGCTCCACACTGCAAATCTAAGGTTAAGTTATAGTTTTTTTTGAGTTTTTTTTTCGCTCTACAAAATGGTACTTAAATCTTCTTAAAACATTTCATTACAAGAGAGTTATTTACAATCAAACAGTAGGCACATCCTTTTGGGATTCTGTATAAGAAGAAGTGAAGTTTCTTGAAGCAAGTGTGTGCGTCGGAGGTCCAGCCCTGAATGCTAGGCGCGGATGAATCGGAGCCGGGAACGTGTTGCTCACGTTTGACTCACAATCTGAGCGACTTCGCGAAGCGTAGCCGCAATCATCACCCGTCCAACACCCTACTCACGTCGGCGCTCCTAGCGCAATGTTCTCATAGCATGAAACATGTCTCCCCCCCCCCCCCAAGTTGCACGCCGTGCCACTTTAGCCCGTAGAGCTAGGAGTGCGTGGCGTTAGGTACCCAGCCAAGGTGCTGGCGTTAGGTACCCAGCCATTAGTCTTATACACTAAGCCACGCCCCTTGGTTGCTTCAATAGCAGGTACCTAACGATACACCGAATCCCAGCTGCTGAAACAGCTCACCTAGCTTGCGAAAGCGCTGGTGCTTGCGACCCCCAGAAAAGAGAGAGTTTGAGGAAATAAAAAAAAAGCGCGAATGAACGCGCAAGTTTGTATGCAATGTTTTCTATTGCTTCTTTTTTCAAAATCAATTCTAGAATCACAGATATTCGGTGATGAAAGTTAAAAACAGGGTAAAGCTTCTATGAGCACTTCACATAGGCAAGAAGAATTGTGATAATCTGATCTAATCTATAATGTCAGGGGAATTTTCAAAGAAGTGAACATGTAGAATTCCAATGAACCAAAATTTTATGATTTTTATGAAGCAAAGCGCACTTTCGGAGATGTACGTGACAAATAAGTTGAAGGAAAATTTTTTTCACATATTGTCGTCGGCCTCGTTCTTAGGTGTGAAGTTATAGTCGCGTTAATATTGCCACAGGGATTGTGAACTACATTACTTAGGTCATTGCTGAGCCCAGCAGATTTATGGAAAAGTATGATAAGCGCATTCATTTTTTTTTAATTTCGGAAGATTTCGGATCTCACATAAAAGTTTCATTGAAGTGAGGCACAAAATACGAGCGCGCCACAGCGGCCACAATGCGCGGCATGAGTCCTGACGTGTGGACAGTGGAGTCGAATTCAAGTTAAGTCATATTGGGGTAAAAAGCAATAGGACATTATAAAATATGTCAAAAATGAGATATCCTCTATACCCAGCGAGATATTAGAATGTGCCACCGGTCGGCCTTTCCTGTTTTTATACATTCACATCATATTAGGTGGGACCAGAGTTTATTCGCCATCTAAAAAAAATCATAACTTGCTTCCGGCTTGATGGATCTTTATAATTTTATTCTTTTGAAAGAGAAAGCCATTCTCTTTACAGCAGTACTTTTGGCATGAATTGGCATGAGAAATTTTGCGAGTTAGATGCAATCGAAAAAACTGCTTAGGATTGGCATTTTTCAAGCAGGGTCACAAGAAATACTGAAAGTGCTTTTGTTCGATGGAGAAAATTAAGCTCTTCACTATAGTGTTTTTCCACGAATTAAAACGAAAAAGATAGAGAGGTGAAAGCAAAGAAAGAGAATTACTCAAGTTTTGCAATCCGTGAGCATGCTCAATAAAGCCGAAAAACGTCACAAAAAAGACGAAGAGGTCATCAACATGGGTATTGTGATCTTCTCTTTTTAGCTGAGCGGAAATCGTGCCAATAAAGAGCAATTTCAATTTTCGTGAAAAACAGCCCCGAAAATCCGGAGATAATACAAAAATCAGAACTGCTCTCAGTTAGCACGAAGTTGTTTTAGCTAGAAAGAGGAGGACACAAAACCCATGCTCATGACTTTCCCGTCTTTTCTGTGATTTGGGCTTTTTCGAGCATACTCAGAAAATGCGAAACTAAAAAAAATTTAATCTGCTTTTAACTCTCGCATTTTCTCATCCTATTACATGGGAAAATACTGTAATAACGAGCATAATCTTCTCGATCAATAAAAGTACTTTCTGAATGTTTTTGGGACCCTGCTTGAAAAATGCCAATCCTGAGTAATTTCCTTCACTTGTCGCCAACTCTCAAACTCTTTCAGGGGTGAGTGACTTTTCATACGATGAGCAATTCCGAGGTGCGAGGTGTGAACACCTACGGCTAGGTCAAGTCTCGCACCTCCGTGTCTAGTATACTGTAGAGAGGGGGGGAGGGGGACTTTTCATACGAATGCCTCCACATCATCTTTTGGCAAAGATCCAGTAAAACTGGCACCATGCCAGGTTTGGGCCTGCTGGCTCCATTCCAAAAAAACATCTAGATTAGCTTTTGCAGCACCGCGAATTCGGATAAATTTGGAAAACTTGAATACTGTATGGATTCAAAAAGTGTTTTGCTGTGAAAATAACACTATGATCGTTCCACTTACGAATTTTTTAGTATTCATATCGACATAATTCGGTCTTTGCAAACGTTTTGAACTGATTTGAATATTGTCAAATGCCTCTCCGAGCTTTCAGCATGACCTGGAAGTGTTACCCTTCCCATAGGGGATATTGGAGGGGGAAGACGGTCAAGAGGCGCGATTTTTCTGGGTGTCATCAACTTAAAACTCCGGTCTCATGCTATGGGAAAATTCAAAAAGTGCCGGACAAAGTTCATTGGCTTACTAGCTGTTTGAAGAACCACTTGATAAGTTTGACGACTTTTGCTAGAAAACTGACAGAAATATCTACAAAATTGCTGTTAACTGCATTTTTATGTGTTTTTGACCTTTAACAATTTTGTTTGAAATCGATTTCAAGATGATGAGATCGAACAATCCCTAAATTCCCTAATATATTTCTTTCGAAATTTCAAGTAATTCTAGAACTTCATAAAACACTGAATATGTGCTATAAGCTGCCCATCTGGCAATAGGAATCGCGCCTCTTGACATATCTACACCCATTGGAGGGTATGCGACTCGATAAAGCGAACTATTTATTACCACAATTGTGCCAGTTGTTTGCGAAAATGAATTCGCTGTGGCCTGACGATCTCGATAAGCTTTATGCAACAGATAAAATCAAGATATTCTTTAGTTTACGCATTTTTGATAATAAACGTTTCATTTTAGTCCATTGTAATCGATAACTGGACGTATTACCAGCACCCTAGCATACGCTAGAAGGTCAAAGTGATCGGGGAGCGTTCGTATGAAAAGTCCCCCTCCCCTCTTTCAGTTCAATTCATGACAGAAATGTTATTGTAAAAAGAATGGTTTCCTCTTTCAGATGAATATATAGTCAAAGAAATCCATCATATCGAAGAGTTTTCATGATTTTTTTTTTGAGAATCTGGCAAGCGGACTTTTGGCTCCACTTAATGAATAAATGTGTTGATTTGAGCGAACAGCGCATTGGTGTGAAGTCGATGCTACCCGTAAGACCACCCCGCGCGCGTGTATCGAATACAAGAACAGAACAAACAAATGTCTTCTTTGCAACGCAAAGTCGACCATATAACAACAAAATTGGTCTTTATGTACCATTGTGAACAGTGGTATGAAAAAACCGGGATATTTGATAATTTCTTATGCTGCAAGTTAATGTCCAGTAGGGCATCTCCTAGCTAACTGAGCCTTAGCGCTAATAATAAAACAAACTGCTGAATTTTTGGCATAGGTTTCTTTCTTTGCTTACAGCTGAAGTGCACATGAAATCACTTATACTTTTACGATAGCACTAAGCATCTTTGATTTTGTCTGCCTTGAACCGTATTTTCTGCTTTTCGTCTAGAATTCGTTCACACACTTCCACTTTAGTCGTCCAACTTGTACATACCATAAGAGCAGTAATGTGTATAGGATAAAGTACGCGACGCAAGCACGTACGCACAAGCACAAACTCAGACACTCGCTGCAACCGCCCCGCACGCGTATCAACGGCGGGAGTTGAAGAATTTTGACGGTTTCCAACGATTCTTCTTCCAGATTCCTC